ATCATATATTGCGTAATTTGATAAGAAATCAATTAAATAAATACGGTTTGTATATTAAATCCGTCCTACAGATTTAATTCACCTATTCATTTAATTCAAAATAAAGATATGATGGAATTATATTTGATTTATTCTAATAAATCAAATTTGAGATATTATACCTTATCAATTTTAAAAAAATGATATAGATTTAATTTATCCTTATAAATCAAATCTTATAAATATCTCTTATATCATATAATATATATACACGGATTTATATATATATACACGTCCACCCTAGATTATTCATTGAATCTGGACATATCTTAGATTCAATGAATCTGGATATCATAGCTCGTGTTGGGCTATTTTGTGTGCGACCCTGTAGGCCCATATGAAGTTGGCAATGGGCCATTTACTATAATGACTCACAAGTCGTAAGCGGTCTCTAGCAAGACATCACGACTACCCAAATCATATGAGGATCGATAAATGATGTAACCTTTCATACAACCATATCACGTCCTTTTGTCACACGACATTTTGGTCATGGATGAGGCATGGAGAACATCATCCTCCTATTCTTGACCGTTACTTTCTCGATCCCTGAGTAGTCTGAGTATAGAAATGGAACTACCTTTCCATTATAGTATGGCCATACATTTCTCAAACTCACTTATCGAGGGGCCCAGTAATATCTCTCTATGAATGTGAGGGACAAATTCCATCTTGACCATTCACATTCCTCCATATGAAAAACCACTAAGCCTGAACATAGTCTTTATGATCACTCGGTCAAAAGTGACTTTTAACTAGGTCAAAGCTGAGCGTTTCTCATGTAGGAATCTATGATGATCTCAGGTCAAAGGGCATAGTGACATGGTTTGTATATGAGATAAGCTTATGACTTAACCCATACAGCTCTCTCATAGCGGGTCGGTCCAACACGTTGTACTCTTACATGTGCCTATGACTTTGATTTATATCTCATACATCTTCAAAGTCATACTGGTCTTATTTCATCTCTGCTCCCACATAGATGACCGACCAGGGACATTTAGGATAAAATCATGAGTTATCCAAGGATAGTCATCACAATAAACATGCAAATAATATGATAACATAATTAAGAAATTCATAGATCAACAATGTTCATAACACAATGATTGGTCCCTAGGGCACAATTTCCAAAAGAAGGATGCAACAAAACCTATACCACTAAGCTTTCTTTCTTCACCCACCTTCTAATAAGCCTCCTTTTCTGCATTACAAATACATATGCGCCCTTCCGCTATCCTCTTCAATTCATCTCTTCCTCTCTCTCTCTCTAGACCTGTACACAGAGAAATGGAAAGCAATTTTCCTGCAATATCAAAGAGAGTGTGGAGCACAGTGCGCATCCTTTTCTTCATGCTCCCAAAATGCTTCGCCAAAGGAAAACTCCTGATGGAACTCAACCTCATGCTCAAACGCCCCGGCAAGCTGGCCGGAAAAGCCATCGCCAACTTCATCTCCCACCACCATCGTCACTGCCACCATGGCACCTCCGCCGCCTCCCACGACGCCCATTTGAGATTCTCCACGGCACTCGAGTACGAGTTCAGCTGCCGCAAGACTCCCAACTACGGCTTCTTCTCCAAACATCATCTCCGTCGCTTCTTCGCCTGTGCTCACGTGCCACTCACACTAGACGACGATGATGCGGCGGCTGTTAATAATGCGCTTAAGGTGGCGCTGGAGATGGTCAGTGACAAAAAACGTATGGATGGGGTGGAGGCGCGCTGGCACTTCCTGGGTTTGGCTGCACCCCGGCAGCGAGACAGCTGAGGGTGACAGACTCTCCATTTCCGCTGCAAGACGGCAACGACATCGGGGACCACCAGGTTGACAAGGCGGCGGATGAGTTCATAGAGAGGTTCCTCGGGGAGTTAAGGAAGCAGCGGGGCTGAGCAATTTTGGATGTGTTAAACGTTAATTATGATTAATTAACCGTAAGATTATAACATCAAAGCCAATTTGGGTATATGTTTCTGATAATCATCCCAACCTCAGTTTTCAGCTTTTGTGGGTTGGGGATTTTGGTTTCGAACTTGTTATTTCAGACATATATCATTTGTACTTTCAATTGTTATGGTTTACGATAATAAATTAATACTACCTCCACCTCTAAATATAAAACCTAATTAATAATTTAAGTAGAGTAAAAAATAACTTAAGTTAGTTATTTGTAGTAAATAAACTTTATTTTTCTAAAATATCTTTACTAATCAAGTTTATTTCTATACCTATCATTATTAGAAGAACTATCTTGGAAAAAATAGATAAATATAAGAGAGAAAATGGATTAGAGTTTAATATTTAGAACCAAAATAAAAATCAAACAAGATTTTATATTAAGAATCGAAGGTAGTAATTACATAATAATGGGCTATAATCTTTTTTTGGGAAAAAAATCATTCTCGTTGTTAATGCCACAATTCTTTTTCTCACTTTTTCGAATATATGAACTCAATATTCAACTCTTTTTAATTCTTATGTCACACTGCATGAATAATAGAGCCTTAATAAGTGGAAAGGATACACACACACACACGAGCTTTTAGTTCTTTGGTTATTATATTTTCCATTCTTCTAACGTTACAGAAGTCTTATAACAAAAGGCTCTAAGGATTTACGAAACTATATTGCCCTCATGTAATAAGTTTAAATAGAATTAACCCAGCAAGTCATCTGAGGTTAATTTGAGTGATAATAAGACTAATTATATATATTAATTCCATTTTATGAATGTGCAAAAACCAAAAAGAATTTCTTGAAATAGTATTTTGGTAATTTGACAGGCAAGAGGACCACTATTTGCACTAACTTGGGCACTAACATCTCAAAGAGAAACCATTGGCTGCTCTCTCTTCAAAATTATTGTTGCCCCGTCATTTGCTTTCTGCATTTGCCTCTGCTTTACTCTGTTTTTGCTTTTATTACTCTTCTTTCTTCATTTTAATTTTATGACTTTTTTCAAGCACCACTTTCTCCTTGCAATTAGCTAGCTATCAGACAAAAGTCTCTCCATATATGAAGATCCACTTACAAGTACTAGTAGCATAATACGTGCTTGGGATGATGTACCAAATTAGTAGACGAAGTGGGAAGGGTCAAAACGAATTTATTTTTAATTTGTCATAATTAAACTCTTCAAGTTTGAAAACATTTTCAATAAATATATTTTACCAACTTACAATTACCCAGATTGACTGGTTGGGTCAATGCTTCGTTGTAAAATCAACTTCTTTAGTTTTGTCACGAAATCTTACTCTACAGGAAGACAATCATTTGCAGAAACAATGACTTTATTTTGACCCTACGTACCATCGATGGTAAGAAAACCTCTATATTACACACACACACACAACAACAACAACAACAAAAAGACACGATCGTACATATGATCATAAAAATACTCCTCAGGTTCCTAATTACTTAGCTACTAATTTGAATATATTAAGAAACTAAATAAATTATTTAATTATAACAAATATAATATGATCTTCCTAAAATATTCATATGTAATATTAAATCATATATCAATTTATAAGTAAGTTTATAAAGTCACTTATTGTTAACGATTAACACGTGGAATTTATTGATGTCGTGATATTAATAGTGGAAAATATTTTTACTAAATATATTGACCTGATGTGAGTTAAAGTACGTTGGTTAAAGGAAAAAAAGGATGGTGGGGTTTGCATCTTTATAATTAAAAATATTAACATTGATTATCATGCAAGCTCTTACCGTTATTTTATTGGCAAAAACTGAAAAGACAAACAAGAACTCAACTTATATATTGGCTAATGCTAAGGCCACTGCCAAGGTCAGGTGAGAATTGTGATTAGAGGCTAGAACAGCACTTATGGACCAAATAATTATGTAAAGTCATTTATTGTTCCTAATTTATAAATAATATAACTTTTTGGGTGTAATAAATAATACTACCTCTCGAACTCATTTGACTTTTATTTTGATTCTAAATATACACCAATCCACTTTATTTCTCATATTTATCTATTTTTCCTAGGATAGTTCTTGTAATAATGGTGGCTCTAGCCAATACATTTAATTAGCAAGGATATTTTAAAAAAACAATACATATTTATTATAAATAACTAACTTAACTTATTTTCTTAATTTACTCAAATTAGTAAACTAGTTCTTATATTAAGAACTGGAGGTACTATAACTTTCTGTTTAATTGAAAGAACATATAACTAATGTGAATATTTAAGAAAAATTAATTAAGTCAATATTTTTAAAAACAATAAGTGAATTTAGTTAAATTAGTTATTTATAATAAATATGTATTTGTTGGCTTTTCTAAACTGTTTTTTTATATCATGTTTATTGGAATTACCTCTTAGTGGGAGTTTTTTTACACTCAACATGAATATTTTAAAACATTATAAATTTTTAAATTAATAATGGCACTAAATTGAAAGAAGGTACTAACTGAAGGTAGCAACATGGAACCAGTTTTGGTGTACTCATTACTTTGATGAGTACCATTATATCCGGACCGTCTATATCTTATTTGAACGGTTAGATTTAAAATTTTTAATTAATTATTTTTAAATAGAAAAAAATACTTTTGAAAAGACTAATAGTTAAGAGATTATCCCTATTTTAAATTTTATACATATTAAATAATTATTTTAAATAAAAAATAAAAAAATCAAATTTAGATCATTCAAATCAGATATGAACGGACCAGATCTAATAAGTTTATGTTTACTTATCATGAGGGCCAGTTTATGTTTACTTATCATGAGCACCGAAACTGGCCCGCTGGAAAACACTTATGAACCCACATGCTATTGTGCTGAAAGGAAGGGTAGGTTGAAGGGTACAACAAAACCTACACCGCTAAGCTTTCTTTCTTCACCCACCTTCTAATAAGCCTCCTTTTCTGCATTATATATACGCATGCCCTTCCGCTATCCTCTTCAATTCATCTCTTCCCCTGTCACACTTTCTCTCTCTGCACAAGAATCATCCATACCCTCTCTCTCTCTAAACCTGTACACAGAGAAATGGAAAGCAATTTGCCTGCAATATCAAAGAGAGTGTGGAGCACAGTACGCGTCCTCTACTTCATGCTCCGAAAAGGCTTCATCAAAGGAAAACTCCTCATGGAACTCAACCTCATGCTCAAACGCCCCGGCAAGCTGGCCGGAAAAGCCATCGCCAACTTCATCTCCCACCACCATGGCACCTCCGCCGCCTCCCACGACGCCCATTTGCGATTCTCCACCGCACGCGAGTACGAGTTCAGCTGCAGCAACACTCCCAACTACGGCTTCTTCTCCAGACGTCATCCCCGTCGCTTCTTCGCCTGTGCTCACGCGCCGCTCACGCTGGACGACGATGATATGGTGGCGGTTAATAATGCGCTTAAGGCGGCGTTGGAGATGGTCGATGACGAAAAACGTATGGATGGGGTGGAGGCGTCGCCGGCACTTCCTGGGTTTGGTCGCACCCCGGTGGCGAGACAGGTGAGGGTGACAGACTCTCCATTTCGGGTGCAAGACGGCAACGACTTCGGGGACCACCAGGTTGACAAGGCGGCGGAGAAGTTCATAGAGAGGTTCTTCAGGGATTTAAGGAAGCAGCAGGGCTGAGCAATTTTGGATGTGTTATTCTGTGTTAATCGTTAATTATAATTAGTTAACCGTAAAATTATCACATCAAAGCCAATTTGGATATATGATGTTGATAATCATCCCAACCTCAGTTTTCACCTTTTGTGGGTTGGGGATTTTGGTTTCGAAGTTGTTATTTCAGACATATATCATTTGTACTTTCAATTGTTATGTTTTACGATATAAATATGAATTTTCAATAAATTAATAGTTACATAATAATGGGCTGTAAGGTTTATTTTTTGCAAAACAAAAAAAATCATTCTCGTGGTTAATGTCAGTTCTTTGGCTCACTCTATATATGAACTCAATATTCAACTCTTTTTAATTCCTATGTCACACCACATGAATAATAGAGCCTAAATAAGTGGAAAGGATACGCACACGAACACATGAGCTTTTAGTTCTTAGTATTTTAAGCTTCTGATGTTACAGAAACTATATTGCCCTCCTGTAATAAGTTTAAACAGAATTAATCTAGCAAGTCATCTGAGGTTAATTTGAGTGATAATAAGAATAATTTTCTATATGTTTATATTAATTGCGTTTTATCAATGCGCAGAAAAAAGAAAGAATTTCTTGAAATAGTATTTTGGTTATTTGAAAGGCAAGAGGACCACTATTTGCACTAACTTGGGCACTAACATCTCACAGAGAAACCATTGGCTGATCTCTCTTCAAAATTATTGTTGCCCACTCATTTGCCTCTGCTTTACTCCGTTTTTGCTTTTATTACTGTTCTTTCTTTATTTTAATTTTATGACTTTTTCAAGCACCACTTTTTCATTGCAATTGGCTAGCTATCAGACAAAAGTCTCTCCATGTATGAAGATCCACTTACAAATAATAGTATTATAATGCGAGCTTGGGATGGTGTTTCACATTTTACCAAATTAGTAGACGAAGTGGGAAGGGTCAAAACAAATCTATTTTTAATTTGTCATAATTAAACCCTTCAAGTTTGAACACATTTTCAATAAGTATATTTTACGAACTTACTATTACCCAGATTGGTTGGATTAATGTTTGGCTATAAAATCAACTTCTTTGGTTGGTTGTCACGAAACCTTACTCTGTAGGAGACAATCATTTGCAGAAACAATGACTTTATTTGACCCTGCGTACTATTGATGGTAAGAAAACCAATATATATATATATATATATATATATATATCTGTGTGTGTGTGGCAAAAAGAAATGATCATACATATAATCATAAAAATAGTCCTCAGGTTCCTAATTGCTTAACTAATTTGAATATATTAAGATTTATAATGTACATACTTATTTTATGACTTGTAATTTTAGAATGCATGCATGCATACATATTCCAAGCATAGTTGTTCATTTTCTTCCTTTTTCAGTGCTTATTTGAGCACATATACATATATAAACTTACATATATATGTTTGCATGTATAAATTGTAGCTTAGCAATATGGATTAAAATTAAAAATATGATAAATTCGATTGGTCTAACCGGCGATGAGTTTATTAATTGATTCTTAACTGATTTTCTGGCCCTCCGATTTTCTTTTAAGACCGAACAGATATTGGACCAGCCTGGTCCAGTTTGTTGAACCGGCTGGTTCAATTCAATTCTCATGACATTGATATTAATAGAACCTGAACTTTTTTTTTTTTACATTTTGAAAAAAGTTAATGAACTTAATCAGCTAGTTTATGGTGTGTTTGGAAAATCTTCTCAAGCCCTCAAAATGCAATTTTCTCAAAAGCTCATAAAGAGGTGTGTTTTTAGCCTGGGAAAGACAAGTACTAGTTTAACGTTGGTGTTTTGCGAAGTTTGGGTGTATTGTACATAGACTTACTTGCAAGTTAAGCAGATTAATTAGTAGTTTAATTTTTGTTTAACTAATGTTGAATGGTAGTCATTTTACAAAATAGACTGTTAAGCAAAAGCTGTGAGAAAAAGATGGATTTGGGGATCTAATTGTTTCAGAACTTTCCATGTAAATTTTAAAAGTGGCAAGTTTCGGTTAAAGGTTCGGTACTCTGAAAAAAGAAAGCACTGCATTATTTCTTTTGAATCGATCATTGGGACTTTTTATTTCCACATGCTTCACGTGAAATATTCATCTCAATTACAATTATCACCTGCTGTAAGCTAAATGCCAACTTGTTAAATATTCCCCCTATCCTAAATGTAAAAACCACTTTGTAGTATAAATTACACTATAAAATAAGTTTTACATTTAGGACCGGATGGGTTTATTGTTATTGTTTATAATTTATGAATATTATTTCTTATATATGAATTTTGTGTTATATTTCAAAAGTTTTTTTGTTATCTTTGATGATTATATTATATTATTGTTTTATTTTTCTTGAAAAACAAACAGAACAAGTATAAGGGCAGCTTGAACATATGTGAGAATAATCAGAGCTGCCTTCTTAAGGAGAAAGGCAAGGAATTCCTTTCATATGTTTTATTGCTTAGTGCAATCCTTAATTATTATAAAAACCTCCTATTGTTGAGCACATGATTTTTCTAATTTTAGCAATCAAGATTCTTCACTCGATTCCTTACATTTTCGTGATAAAGGGAGATACGGAATTGCTTTCCATCTGAGTTGGTATATACCTGTTTAAAACATTATGCACGTATATGTAATAATGATGAAATGTTAAAGTTTATTATGGCCAAACAAATTAAAAGTTAAAGAACTTCAAATTATTTTTTTCCTCTGTACCTTGAAACTGCCAAATAAGAAATCTCTTACTAATAATATTTTTTGTGTATCTCATATGTAATTTATATGAGTTTATGAATACACGAAAAATTTAATTGTTTACATCATGAATAATTAATTTTTGAAGTTGGGGGGTTGGTGTACAGCATATTGTGATGCAATATATAAAATTGACAATAAATCCTTCTTAAATTATAAATGACTTGATAAGTTTTATATTTTAATACTATTTAAAATTTAAAATTATATTTTTTTGACCAAGAAATTTACATTTAGAGGTGCTGCACACTTTCTTATGGAAAAGGATTTTGAATCTCTGCATTGACAAATTAACTATTTTTTATAACAATTAATGTAAATACACACCTTACGCAAACATATCAATATCTAACTCGAATTGAAAACCTCAGTTAAAGAAGACAAGAAACGTTGTCACTGGGACAGCTGGCCATTGTCAGTTATATACACATAAATATGAAATTAGACAACAAAGCTCTTGCTTTGTACAAAGTGTAATGCTGAGCTATACTATTTATAGTTTATCAATAATATAACATCCTAAAAGTTTTATATCGTGTATGGATGCGCACAATGACCAGATTTAGTGACTAATTATGTGTATTAATTGTGGTTTATGAATGCTAAAATAGTATTATGGTTCAAAGTTAATTATAAATTGGATTTCACAGCCAAGAGCAGACCACTATTTGCATTTTGCACTGACTTGGCCCCATATGATTCCACTAACGTATCTCAAAGAGAAACCATTGGCTGCTCTCTCTTCAAAATGTTGTTGCCTTTCTCATTTGCTTAGCCTTCTATATTTTTCTCTCATTAGCTTTTGCTTTATTACTATTTTAATTTTTTAATGAATTTTCCAAGTCTTTATAAGGGCCACTCCTTCCTTGCAAATTAAAGTAACTATCAAACAAAAATCTCCCAAATATTGAAGATCCACTTACAAAGAAAACAGGCGATCGCATTCACATTCGCATTCCCAACTACCATTACATGTGTGTGTGTGTGTAATACCTCGAAAAAAAATATTGCAGATGAAGGAGGAAAGGGCCAAAATGGATTTGTTTTAATTAATCATGATTAAGCTGTTCAAGTTTGAAAGACGTTAATTTATTACAGTCGTAACGAATGAATAATTCAACGGGCTTATTGGGATTGGTTGGATCAGTGTTTGACTATGAAATCAACTTCGTTAGTTAGCTGTCACGAAGAGGAATTAAAATCAAGTTGATGAAAGAATCACGTTATTCCGACCACAAGTTCATTAATTAAATCTCATCAAAGTTTATTTTAAAAAATTTCTGATGCATTGAAATTGAGTAGCGCTTAGTGTTAATTTAATTTTATGCTAGGTATGTTTAGGTGTTGTGCACAGATTACTTGCAAAAGCTGGGTGGTAGCCAGTTTAATTATTGTTTAACTAGTGGTAAACAGTTGTTACTAATGGAAATTCATTGTTGCTAGGGAAAAGCAGTCTTAAGAGAAAGGTGGATTTGGGGATCTATATAAGAATTATTAATTGTAGCCAGCCAGCTGATTTAAATGAAAGAATAAAAATTAGAGTCAAGGAAACTTCAGAACTTTTCATGTAAATTTAAAGAGTAAAAGTTTTTTCAAAGAGAAATGTTGTTTGGGAGCCAACAATAATTGTGAATGTTGGGTACTTATTTCTTGTGGGGAAATTAAAGCTGTAACACTAATTAATTAATAATTAATAATTAATTATTATTATAAACTCAATTTGGATGCTAAATGCTTGCCAGTCCTTCTAACTTGTATGATGCACAGTGAAAAGGAGCAGCAACGAAACTTATAAATCCAATTCATATTTCCTTCGATCTAATTATAAGAGTTAGAGAATTCACTTTAGTGCCAAATATAAAACTCCAATTCATATCTTTCAAATTTATAATTTCTCAAACTATATTAAATACACATGGCAAAGGATTCTCATCATATATATATATATAGTACTTTCAATGCAAATAATCATGATTAAATAGCGTAAATAATACATTTTTCTACAAATAATTCAATCGGTTAATTGTTTAATCTTTTTAAATTAGTTATTTAGATTTTATATCAAAGAGCATAGACAATAATAAAGTGTAGTATTATTCATAAGTTATAAATAATTTAGAAGACTGTATGCAACACACAGATGACATCAGTTAATAAATACTACATCCAGTCATAAACATAAGATTTAATTTACAGCATAAATTACACTATAAACTAAATTAGATCTTATATTTAGAATAGGAGCTAGTAATTATGAGGCGACAATGATTTTCCAAGAAGGGGAGTGAATCTTGTGTGGTCATCAATAACGCTAAAGCATTCAACAAAGTTAATCAGTTAACCTTCAAATTCCACATGACGAAAATCAGAGTCCAACCACCATCACTAATTAATCTCTTAAGGCTTTGCCAATTGATCATCCTTTTTTTTTGGTACCATC